TTGCATTATTGACAATTCTCGTCACAATTTGGTCTTTAGATTGGGTTTCTGGAGAGGGAGGCTATTAGTTTCATCTTTTTTTGGGTATAGAGGTGGAGGGGGATTCTTGAAGGGAGAAATATGCTTCAAATCCGGCTTAGCAAAGTTCCACAGGCGGAAGGTGGCGCTGGAGCAGTGAAGCCCTTGCAAGCGGAGACTGTGACGGTCGCATGCCCTGACCACCTTATCCTTGCTGATCTTCCTGTGGCAAAGGGCATTGGTGCAGCTACTGCTGCTTCCATTGTTAAGTCTGTTGGTCGCAGATCTCGCCGTCAGCTTGGAGAACGAGTTCATTTTTGTGTCAGATGCGATTTTCCCATTGCAGTTTATGGTCGCTTGGTATTTTCCCTACTATATTTTTGTGTCTTTTTTCTGTCGGTTGTTTTGTCTACATTTGGTCCATGGAAATCATTCATTTATAAATGACAATTTGAGATCTTTTTTTTTTTTTTTTTTTTTTTTTTTTTTTTTTTTTTTTTTTTTTTTTTTTTTTTTTTTTGTCAAATCGGCACGCATTACTTCATTCATATCTGCAATGTTCTTCCTTCTTGCCCGCTGGTGTGTAGGCTTGTGTCATTTCTTTTTAAATATTTGTGAGCATCTCTAGCCTGTGTGCATCTTGACTAATCTCACAGGACACCCACTTGACTCTACTACATTTGGCTTGTGGCATACTTAAAGAGCTAAATAGTGGTTTGCCATTCTTGCAGAGCCCATGTGAGCATGTGTTCTGTCTCGATTGTGCAAGAAGCGATTCTATATGCTACCTGTAAGTAAAAATGCTTTGAAGGTCTTAAAAGGGCTATTATGGTTCTTTTGTACTATCAATGTCAATATTGATTGCCCATGCATAATCACTTTCTATTGCAAAAACTTTTCTTGTCATCTTCTTCAAAAATCTGTTGTTTTCTTTGATGATTAGAGTACTCTATACATTAGCTTCTGTGTACTTCATGACAATATAATGTAGACGACTCTACAAGTTGTGATTATAGTCATATTTTTTATGACACAGTTGTGATGACCGTATCCAGAAGATTCAAACTATAAAATTGATGGAGGGGATCTTCATTTGTGCAGCCCCACATTGTCTCAAGTCTTTTCTTAAGAGGACTGAATTTGAATCTCATATACAAGAGAGTCATGCTGAACTTCTTAAGCCAAATGCAGAAATGGAAGATGGAAACGAAATTGAGGCTCTTAGTGCCAAACAATCTACAGCTTCTGAATCCACTGTTCGAGGTCCATCGAGACCAATCATATCTCCAAGTTCCAATTCCCAGGCTCAAGAACATGACGAAAAATTTCATCGTCAACAATCTAGAGACCAACCCACGTCTGGCATGCAGCAACAAGACAGCGGTGGTCATTCACAAGGCTTTGATCGACATGGCCCTCATGGCCGTTTTCCCCCACAAAACTTTGACGTACAGGGTCCTCCACATCAGGAATCCAGTCAATTTTCAGAGAAACAGCAGGGAATTCTGGCCGACCCTCCATACTCCCAGTACCCTCCTTTGCAATCAATTCCACCACCAAATTACGTGGTTCCAGCTAACTCAAATCCAATGTTGAGTCCCCCTCTACCGTTCGGTTTTCCTCCGTTTCCAACTGAGGGAGCACAACAATATTACAGTACACCCTATGAAGTGCCACGACAAGATACCGCAGCTGAGACTGGATCCGAGCAAGGGTCACTGCTAGGCTTTCCACCAGGAGCAGCAGGAGGAATGAACTTCTCAGCGACTTATCCTCAACCTTGGAATACTGGACAAGCTGGCGTTCCTTATGAGCATGCTGCTGGAGGTCAAGGAATGCCTGATGCTTTTGCTAATGCACCTGATTCTCAAGTAAATCATGGATTTTACCAAGGAGATTATAGACGCAGCCCTGGAGGCTTGCCTGTGAATTCTTCTGTCTCGTCAATGGCCAACAAGAGCATGGACCTGGGACATTATGGTAATGCGATGGACTTGAAGAATGGTAGAGGTATATTGGCACCACAGCCGCCTCTAGCACAACTTCCTCTGCCTCCACCACGCCCACCGTACTTGTCGCATAATAAGCATGGTAAGTTTCATTCAGGAGATACGGATCATGATGGACAAGGCCATGGATGGCAGAATGATAGCCATAGCCGAGATAGCTTTGGAAGTGGCCAAGACTGATGGTTCTTCCATCGCATGCTTTGTTTCTTTTGCCATATACTTTCAACCATTATTTTGTCCAAGGTTGCATCTGCCAGCTTGAGAATGTCTATATTTAAACTTGATGATCAACGATAAAGTTTTACTTTCATTCGACAGGTTCGAGAATATTATATAGATAAGAGTATTATCGTCAAAGGATTTTTCAGAAGTTAGGTTGTTCAAGTATCCTATTATCATTCAATTTTTACATTTTTCTCGATTGGTAGGAGTTTGTCTAGGTTCATCGGTTTTAAATTTGTGTCTATTTAGTCATTGAAATTTAAAAAGTGTCTCGCAGGTTTTTCAATCAGATAGAATTGCATAAATATATTATCAACTTGCCTGTAATCATCAAACAAATAGCAAACAAAATCCAAAATTCATTAAATACATCTCTCTAGCAGGAATTAGAGAAAATGAAAACAAAGTTGTTATGAACAAAGTACAATCATCTCACGCTTCTGTCAAACTCCACGCTTGTCACTGATGAGCTGCATGCCGAAGTGGGTTGAAAAAACACCATAAAACATCCAAAAAATGAAATAAGAAGAAGCCACGAATGAACAAGAGAGATCAGTGATATGAGCTCAGTTTTTCTTTCTCCAAAATCCATTGTTGGTATGTGAGAACTCGCATCTCATCCAATTTCACATAAAACTGATGCAACTTTCTGTAGATCGATAAGATATGCCTATCTACATAATCTTCATACTTCTCGTACAATGCGGGAACCGTTAGCACGAGTAAAAGGCCTATCATTCAGAAAATAATGCCCCAAAATCGATCATCGAATGTTTTTTATCAACAGGAGTCGAATGTTATGGAAACTGAAGATTAGAACTTACTGGTGTAACCCAAAGTGAGAAGATCAGTCAAGCCACTGATAACTGAAATCAGCCATAGGCAAGCAGCTACTTTGAAGAACAATTTGGGGTCTTTTCCCATTGCTATATCTTGTGAAACAGACAGCAAAGTATTCACATGGGAACGAATGAAACTCGCAGCTTCGTTTACCATATCTTCTGAGAGATGCAACTCAGGAAGAGGCGGCGCTGGTCTGTTCAGAAAGAAAGGTAATAGATTCAGAAGTAATCTTAATCCAACTACATAGAAGTTAAGCTAGAATTAGTCTAAGTACATAGAGAAAATTAAGAATGGTCTTCTGAAATGCATCAATGGCTCAATGCTTTGTCAAGAAACTAGCTCAGAACTCAGTAGATATCAGTCAAACAAAAAATGCATACTACTTTCTGCATTGATGAATTTTCGAATGCTCGAAAACTACTGAATTGTTTCATCTCTAGCTTGTTAGGCTTGGAAAAACATGAGCAGATCTACATTGTCTCACTCATGTTCAACATCTTTGGGAAATGCATTTGCATATCCCAGACATCTAAAACAACAAACACTAAGGCCGTTTGATTATTTTCAAAAACCAAAAGCCAAAGACCAAAACAACCAAATTGTTATCAAATGAGACTTCTTATGCAACTGGAACTAAAAGGGAAGCTGGGTATAACATAAATAGAAGTAAATATCCCAAAATGTTCATCAAATGGAGAAGAAAGTGAAGACAAATTTACAGATCAAGATGTTGAAGAACTAGAGAACTTGCACAAACTCCTACATCTATTCAAAGATCATGCATTCTAAAGGCTTATGAATCAGTTTACGATTCTTGATGCTATTGAAATTGAAGAGATAGGCTGTAGCATGCAAGTCAAGAGGCGTTACCTGTTGAGAATGGATGCAGATTTTGCCCAGATAAAGATAATGGTAACAAGAAGAAGTAGAACACTGGAAATTAAAGACAAAAGGGTGTAACCACATCTCCCAAACACCAGCCAAGTTGCCAGCATAAGTAACAATATCCCCACAGTTAGATTCCTTTGCCTCCATAGAATTACATCTGCAACTGAACAGATTAAAAGCCAAGAGTTAAACCCCAATCCTTGTTGTTTAATGGCAACCAAGTCTATGTTTATTGGATCATAAACGCAATCTTAATTAGGTTTTAGGCGTAGATATCCCAAAAGAAGAATCCACAGAAAACCTTCAGCAATGCAGAAAAGAAGAAAACAGTTCATCGATTAAAACTTTGTCAAAGAGACCATCGATTGGTTCGCAATCCCACATCAGAGCCAATAGAGGACTGAAACAGAGTAATCAGATAGAAATCTGAAGAGGATCCATCAATAAGAAGAATGAAAAAGAAACACAGAAATCAGAAGATCGTGACAAGAATTACCAAGACCCCCGCCGATCAGTTCGTGAAGAGTTCGCTGCCCGCGGAATAAACGATCGGAGGAACCCATAAAAAAAGAAGTGAAAAGAGAGGATCTCGATTCCAGTACAGGATTCAAAATACGCTAAAGAAACGGAACCAGAAAGCGAGAGCTGTGAAGGAGCCAACAGATAAGGGAAAACAGGGGCTGTGTTTAGCTTTTTGTTGCCCGCTATCTGTTACCCTTTCGAGTTTGAGGGCAGACTGAGTTGAAATGGTAAGAAATGGGGATTGGGCCATAGCTGACAGGTCAAAAGTCTGATGCCTGCCTCTCGTGCCTTCTTTATTCTTCTCCTTCATTTGCCCCTTGGAATTGGTATTGAAATTGTTTTCTTCTTCTAAACTCTATGACAACTAATTAAAAAAATGGTTGAAATTTATATAGATTCAACCCAACCAACCCGAACTCGAATAAAGTGAATGATTTTAACGTGACAATGGGGTCCTTAAAATATTTTCGAAGACAAATACATCTCTGTAATCGAACATTTGTGACAATCCAGAGGCCAAGCTGACGGCAATTTTTTTTTAATGTTATACAGAATCAATCTGAATTGAAAATGTAAGGGGGAAATAGTTACACTGCACAGGACTGTAAAGCATGGATTTAACTTCAACTAGCTAACCTTGAGTTCAACAAGGATTTCGGGTTCCCATTCTCCTGCAAATTATTCTCTTCTTTCGCCTTGTGCCAATCCCGTTCATTCATCAATCTTGAACCAAAAATCAAATACTTCCTCAGGGAGTTCCCTCATCAGTACGACTGATTTTCTTACGAGGGCTAGAAATGGTGCAGTCTGCATTATCTGCAGGTTCGCTTTCATGAAAGGCAGCGTCTGCATTATCTGTAGATTTGTTTTCAGATTCGTTTTGATGCATAGCAACTTCAGGGGAGATTGTAGGTTCATTATTGGGAGAAGCAGCTTTGGCAGAAACTGCATGAGCATCTTGGACGGTAGCATGGACATTCTGGGAGGTGGAAGCTTCAGGGGAAACAACAGCTACATCATTTTGGAGGGAGGCAGGTTTGTTGGCAACTGCAGGTACATCAGTATTGGCCGCTGCTTCAAGGGAAACAACAGGTACATTATCGGGGGAGGCAGCTTGGGTGGAGGAAGCTGCAGGTTCTTTTTGGGGATTACCAACTCCTGCTGCCATGACTGCTGAGGAATCCATGAGGCTAGCAGCTATTGCAGCCTTCAAGTCTTCATCCTCCATGTCCATAAGCATTTCTGCTTCTCCGGTTGAAAGAAAGGTATCTTGCTGCTCTGTCCAGCTTACTCTTTGTGGAGGAGGGGGGTTTTGGGTAGAGTTGCACGATTTGGTTATCCTCTCAGCATCCTCTGGGGAAAGCCACTGACCATAACCATTAGATGCTTCGGTGGACAAGATGGGAAAATCCTTGGGGAAGTTACCCCTCACTATAAAGATGCTCCAACCAAAGCCCTTTAGAGAGTCCAAGTAAGCTGAAAGGTAAAACTTAGAAAGATGTTGTGGGGCTGCATATAGACTATCAAAATTGTACCACTCCCCATTCACTTTCCTAATACAAAACCAATGATCTTGCAAGTGACATATAAATGCATTCTCCAGTTCAGGATCAATCTGTGCAGGTTCAGCAACTGGCGAGTTGAGAGGAATAACTTGAAGATCCCATACCTCCAAAGCCTTTTGTAAGACCTGCAACCAAATATATAATGATTTAAACAAATCAGAACATCCCAACAGGTTCTATGAATTGATAATATACACATAGAATAGGAACTGGTTTAGAAAAGAAGAAGTCCCATCCCTCTCAAATATTTCACCGTTTTACTTAAATACTTCACCCAAAATAGAAAAATAAAAAATAAAAAGAGAAAGAAGGAGGAGATCTGATGTTCACTGCGCTAAATTTGGGTATCCAAAACAAGGACAATCTCCACAAAACCTAAGCTAAGCCTGCTTCGACACCTGATTACAGAACAATAGACGATTTCAGAAGCATGTGGTAAACCAAAATGCATAAGCAGTGTGCCTGCCCAGATGTAGTTAATGGGAGCCAAAGGACTACTATCGAGATAAGGAAAAAATTGCAAGATCAGGGAAGAAAAAATTAAGAGCAGTGTCCTTACTTGCCCACTTTCAATCTACTTTATTAATCATTACTTGCGATAACAAGTTTTTCTAACGATCTCTAACCATCCCATATGCCAACTCATGTTAAATTCAAGAATTAAGAGATCAGAAGCGTAGCAACTTTTGAGTTAAATACATGTTTCTCATCCCAAAAAACAACTTATGAGATAATGTAATCCTATTTTTCAGATTATCACATTTGAAGCAAAGCATACATCAAGAAACATATTTCACTTGAATGAATCACAATAAACTTGTCATAATATTATCAGGTACATCCGTACAGTAGAAGCAAGTATTGTCACAGAGTTCGTTGAACACAACGTTATTCAAATTTTGCATCACTTCACTACTCATCACTGCTACCTCAGAAAGATGACACTGGGACAAAGGAGAATAGTAGCTCAGGGGGTTTTGCAAGTAATAAACCTTATCTTAAAAAATATTCCATCATTGGTACTATTACGTATGTGTGAATTCCCATGCCATTACAAGTCATTGTATGAGTTCTTTTAAAATTCAAAACAATATCAGCTGTAACCGTTACACAAATGGCTCATAATGACTGTAACTACTGCATATTGGCTTACAACTTCAGGTTTTCTATTTCTACTGTTAAAAGAATACACAACTCGAACGTCAGGATCGCATCTTAACCGCTTTCCGTAAAACATCCAATATATTCGTTAACCACTGTTCCTGAATGCAATTCAAAATATACAACAACATTTGGAATTCGAGTAGATTGAAGAAGTAATATAAAGAGTATCCACGGAGGAGCCTGCGTATTTACACTAAATCGATCAAATAAAAATTATTAAATAAAAAAAAAAAAACAGACATCCAAAGCAACCTTTCGGTTTCCCTCAATTAGCTTCTAGAAGGAGAAAAGAATAACAAACAATAACAGACAGTGCAACAGGGAATCAAAACCTGGATACTGAAATCACCATCCAAGGAGACATTGTGAGACTCCTCGGAGAGGAAATCGCCGGTTGTGGATCCACCAAGCATCATCTGGCGCTCCTTCCGGTCGAGATCGGATGCCAGAGCAGCCAAATCGAATTCCGAGAAGAATGGACCCTGCAACACAGTGTTGACACAATGCACAGCGCAAAGCTTCGATTCTTGTACCTCGTGGTACAACATCCCTCCATTGCTGGCTCCCTCCATAATTCTCAACACAGAAAATGGAAAGAGAGAGAGAGAGAGAAAGGATGAAGAAGAGAGAAATAAACCCTAGATTCAGCCAAGCAAGCTATGGGTGTTACTTTTGGTGTAAGCTTGTTATTCTCTCTCGAAGAAAATGCGGTAACAAAAAATGAAATGAATCTTTTGCCCTTCCTCAGTTTTGGATTGGAAGTTGAAATTCCGCACGTGTTAATACATTGTTTCACGCGTGTGGAAATGCCTAAGTATTTAATTTTGATCCGATTCTGTAACTTGCGATAACCCGTGAAAAAGATAACTCCCTAAAATTCCTCTAAAATATGTTTTTTTTTAATTATTTATAATCAACTTTTAGAAAATAAAAATTATTAGAAACAATCAATATTCTTTCAAAATTATAAATTATCGAGTGGTTGAATTAAAAGGTTAGGTATCATAACTTTTCAATAGTGAATGGACTTTGTGTGCAAGTCGACCTACTTTCTTTGCTACGCCTCAATAATGTGCAGTAACTCCTAAAGGGTCATGCACTGGATCCATTCGGCCCGAAGAAGGAGAGAGCAGGGTCATGCACTGGATCCATTCGGCCCGAAGAAGGAGAGAGCAGGCAGTTGTGGTGAGAAAGCTCGAAACCATGTTAGATACAACAAGACAGCTTAGGAGGAGTAGAAAGTTGTCATAACTTAAGGTGGGTTTGCTGTCTAGTCAGCCAAAGTCTGCCTTCTTACAAACTGATTAAAGGGAGAGAGCGCCAAGACGAACGACGTCAAGAGAACGAATATCTAACGTCTCCGAAATTTAACTCAACTTAGCACCCATGAAAGGCAAAGCAACACAACTCTTGCTATTCTTCAAGCACGATCTATCAAAAGGAAAACATATTCATATGGCTCAATAAATGCCTACACTCTTCTTAACTTCTAACTTTTGTTTCTATCATATTGCCCACATGCTGATGGTCCCTTATCTCTTACCTTTTTCCTTTCACCCTTTTTCCCCCTAAGCTCACTGTGTTTTTCTTCTGCTCCTCTTTGACTTCCCGACTCCCTTGCCTTTAAAATTGTGAATGTTTGATTAATCCACCACACCTAAATGATGTGAAAGTTATCTTATTTATAATCAAATAAATTACAAGGATATGAAAATAGTAATAAATGGAAATAACAATAAATGGAAAGATACCTATGATAATAAGGCAAATATCTAATATTTTCCTTATAATAAAATATCAAATATAATATATATGGTAAACTATAATTTATTACTAAATATCCTTAACACCCCACCGCAAGCTAAGCGTCGGATTGAAACGAACGTGAAGCTTGAATCTGAAAAATTCAAAGAGGTTGAGAAACACTTTTTCATGAAGATGCTAACAACCCGGTTCTTGGCCATCAAAAATTGCAGAGGGATCGCCGCTCAGCGGCGATGCTGCCTTGGCTTCTGCGAGAATATGTCTAACCCATGAAGAGGGATTGTCGCTTAGCGACGATTCTGCTTTGGCTCTGGTGAGAATATTTCTAACCCCAAGAAGTAGAAGGGGAAACCTAGAGCAAGAGACAAAGACAATGTTGAAGCCGGAAGAGTCGCCACATTGGGCGAAGGAGCCAATTTTGGCGAGAAGGGACAAAGACAATGTTGAAGCCGGAAGAGTCGCCACATTGGGCGAAGGAGCCAATTTTGGCGAGAAGGGTAGTCGAAAGAGTCGCCTCATCGGGCGAAGAAGCCAATTTTGGCAGGAAGGGCGGCGACAACTTGGTTGGCAAATAGGCCAGTGCGGCACCCAGATTCCGAAGGTAAATCTCTGCAAAAGGTTGATAGGTTTAGGTTAGAGTTTATGTGAAGGATGAAGGTTGATTGGGAAGAAAATGAGAGAGACTATATTGGCCAAGGGGAAAACCGATTGGGTTGGAAAAGGTGAGGTTTGTATGAACAAAGTATGACGAAAGGTGATTTGGAGGTCAATAGGGTGGAGCCGAAGAGTAATCAATCGGCTCCGACTACGGCAGCCATGAAGACTGCCCCTACGGCGTCAAAACCAGCAGGGGTGGTGAAGAAGAAGATTAGAGGATTCAAAAGCCATTGAAAAGAAAAGATCGGGGTTGTTAAACCGAGAGGGCTCTGATACCATGTGAATGTTTGATTAATCCACTCCACCTAAATGATGTGAAAGTTATCTTATTTATAATCAAATAAATTATAAGGATATGAAAATAGTAATAAATGGAAATAACAATAAATGGAAAGATACCTATGATAATAAGGCAAATATCTAATATTTTCCTTATAATAAAATATCAAATATAATATATATGGTAAACTATAATTTATTACTAAATATCCTTAACACCCCACCGCAAGCTAAGCGTCGGATTGAAACGAACGTGAAGCTTGAATCTGAAAAATTCAAAGAGGTTGAGAAACACTTTTTCATGAAGATGCTAACAACCCGGTTCTTGGCCATCAAAAATTGCAGAGGGATCGCCGCTCAGCGGCGATGCTGCCTTGGCTTCTGCGAGAATATGTCTAACCCATGAAGAGGGATTGTCGCTTAGCGACGATTCTGCTTTGGCTCTGGTGAGAATATTTCTAACCCCAAGAAGTAGAAGGGGAAACCTAGAGCAAGAGACAAAGACAATGTTGAAGCCGGAAGAGTCGCCACATTGGGCGAAGGAGCCAATTTTGGCGAGAAGGGTAGTCGAAAGAGTCGCCTCATCGGGCGAAGAAGCCAATTTTGGCAGGAAGGGCGGCGACAACTTGGTTGGCAAATAGGCCAGTGCGGCACCCAGATTCCGAAGGTAAATCTCTGCAAAAGGTTGATAGGTTTAGGTTAGAGTTTATGTGAAGGATGAAGGTTGATTGGGAAGAAAATGAGAGAGACTATATTGGCCAAGGGGAAAACCGATTGGGTTGGAAAAGGTGAGGTTTGTATGAACAAAGTATGACGAAAGGTGATTTGGAGGTCAATAGGGTGGAGCCGAAGAGTAATCAATCGGCTCCGACTACGGCAGCCATGAAGACTGCCCCTACGGCGTCAAAACCAGCAGGGGTGGTGAAGAAGAAGATTAGAGGATTCAAAAGCCATTGAAAAGAAAAGATCGGGGTTGTTAAACCGAGAGGGCTCTGATACCATGTGAATGTTTGATTAATCCACTCCACCTAAATGATGTGAAAGTTATCTTATTTATAATCAAATAAATTATAAGGATATGAAAATAGTAATAAATGGAAATAACAATAAATGGAAAGATACCTATGATAATAAGGCAAATATCTAATATTTTCCTTATAATAAAATATCAAATATAATATATATGGTAAACTATAATTTATTACTAAATATCCTTAACACCCCACCGCAAGCTAAGCGTCGGATTGAAACGAACGTGAAGCTTGAATCTGAAAAATTCAAAGAGGTTGAGAAACACTTTTTCATGAAGATGCTAACAACCCGGTTCTTGGCCATCAAAAATTGCAGAGGGATCGCCGCTCAGCGGCGATGCTGCCTTGGCTTCGGCGAGAATATGTCTAACCCATGAAGAGGGATTGTCGCTTAGCGACGATGCTGCCTTGGCTCTGGTGAGAATATTTCTAACCCCAAGAAGTAGAAGGGGAAACCTAGAGCAAGGGACAAAGACAATGTTGAAGCCGGAAGAGTCGCCACATTGGGCGAAGGAGCCAATTTTGGCGAGAAGGGCAGTCGGAAGAGTCGCCTCATCGGGCGAAGAAGCCAATTTTGGCAGGAAGGGCGGCGGCAACTTGGTTGGCGAATAGGCCAGTGCGGCACCCAGATTCCGAAGGTAAATCTCTGCAAAAGGTTGATAGGTTTAGG